TGGGTGGGAGGTGGTGGGGGTGGGGGGAGCAAGGGGAGGGAGGGAAAGACAGAGAAAGGCTTTTTGTTTGGCTAAGTACACTATGTGAAAGAGGGGGCGGTGAGGAAAAGAGAGCTGGAAATACATTAGAAAATGGTTGCGTCGGCTGTGGCATTTGTGGATCAGATTACCTCACATGCCAGGCAGTGGACGGACCCAACCATCGGATCCAACTTGGTTTGACCATGACGACATGTGTGTAAACTAACTTTATTGAGTCTAAAGTGTTTAACTTTGTCCTAAAACCTACATGGAAGGACCAGGGAGGAGGGGGGGAAGAGTGAAAGTTGGGAGGATTAGCAGCTTGCAGTGTACAGACTGTTGGTAATCCAGGGCTTTATTGGCTCTGTCAACATACAGTAGGTTTACCTAAGCTAAAACACCTGTATTGTGGCAACATGCCATGGGAAAAAACACAAAATCTGGCCCTACACACTCCTTAGTCGCTGTATAGGTACATTTTCTGTAACCTCAACCTCAAACTTCTAATATATACTTGAATACAAGTGAATGACGGGAAGGAAGCAATTTAGGAGCATGGAATCATGTCTGCATTAACATTCCCACATTGCTATGGGAGCAAAAGCTATTTCCGTGTCCTACATCCAGCAAGCTTCCTGAGGTCTGCGCCGTGGAGGAAGTCATAAAGACAGGAAGACTTCCTGTATTGTTGCCAACATGCAGTATGGACTGTACATGCTCCGAGAGGCCAGGAATCAGTGATGTAAACCCCTTAAAAATAGCTCTCTCAGCCCTATCAAAGAGGCCAAGACATACATCTGACTGGAGATTTATACCCCTACTTTATACCAGTTCTTTACTCAGGTTTAAGACATGTTTTCACTGCGTGTGTAAAGGATCTCCCTTCAACATAAATCTCATACAGTGCACTACACTACAGTAGATGTTCAGTGACTGTCTCATGCATAATGTAATCCAGTACAGTATATCTGCAGGTCATATTAAATGCTCAGTTTGATCAATTAATGAAGTCACTGTTAATGCAACTGTCCCTATAGTTTTGTCTTTTGAAACCCCCCATCATCACCAGGTTTCCTGGGGTTTTAAAGCAGAGGCAGACTACTTGCTCTTAGGGACAGAACAAAAATTATTAAGGGAGAGGGTGTGAAAAATGTGGAGGGATACTGTCATTTTCAGTTTATATATTTAATTTCATAAAATTAGGTGAATAGTTGCATCAAAAAGACCTCTTTCACGTAGTTCATAAACATGTACTTTGCCATATACAGAGAGCAACAGTTCTGCATCTGTAGCTGTATGAGTTTTATTATTTATATTTTGTTATTATTATTATTGGAAGTTCTGTGCTATTATTTTGGCAGTGGCAGTTTTTCATATCAAGAGAAATGATCAAAGAACACATTATGAACCCTGGGGAACGTCTTGCTTTTGTTTTTTTTAGCCACTCATCACCCAAAGAGTTTTGTACAGTCCCTTACATCTTTTAAAATTAATATATTTTCATAAAAATAAATAATTATTTAAGAAAATAGGTCTATTTCACACAACAAATGGCATATATTTATTGAGCATGACTATTGCTCCGTTCATCATGAGACAAGGCGCATCGGGCCCTGGGTGGCCCACCACCCTCAGCTAAACAATATCCTAGGGGAAATGTTTATGCCCACAGTGTGAGCAGTTCAACATGTGATGTTTCCTTCTCAGATTTGTTTAATCTGGAGGATTCTTAGAGGCTCGAAGAGGGAAATATGTTTGATATTATACAAGAGAAAAAGCAACATTTCGAGAAAAGCCTGGTAAAATAAACAAACAAATGTTCTTCCCTTGGGAGCTCCTATTGTAGAGTGCTGACCCCCTGTACGTTAGAATATAGTGTGTATGCTAAGGTTCAAAGCTCATTCTCTTAGGAGCAAATCTGGAGCCTTTAACCACATCACATGATCTTCATCAGCAGATAGAGTGTGCCCTGTTATCACAGAGTTGAGGTTTTTCTGTATTGGATTAAGACTGTACCAATATCCACCCTGCAGTGTGAGGTTATTGAGTCCATTTCTGCCGTCGTGTGCCAATAGGTGCACGTAGGTGTGTTTGAGCCAGAATATGACGATACAGTATCACAGTATCACACATCTCACACTCACAATGGGGAGATGATACACCCCCTCCGCTCAGACACAACAGGTCCACCTGTTGGCCTCCATCCAGCGCACCTCTCTGCGACTGAACTCCGTGTCCTCTCGCTTTGGCTCCCATCCAGTATGCTCCTCCTCCTCCTCCCTCTTTCACTCTCTTGTCTTGACCGGAGATGTTGCCACCACAGCCGAGGCAGGCATTGTCACTGCCTGTCGCCACGACAACCAGATGGCAGCTGTGCCCATTCGCCCGCCTCTGCTCCTCCATTCTCTCCTTATCCAAGACTGATACTTAACATTTCCGTCTTGCTTTGTTTGTCCGCGCAAACGTTCATCGGTAACGAGGGTCAGATCTGACTTTATCTGACTTCTCACATGAACAGAAGAATTAAAGCTTAACCGTAACTGAAGTGGATTTAAATCTTTCCCGTCACCTAAGGGTGCATCATAAGGGTAAAGAAAAAGTTGGCATGATCACTTTATTCATTCATAAAACCTTGACTTTCTTGAGAATCAGATCATGAGGAACATTCCTGCAAAGAGCGGTAAAAGTCAGCCACTGAATCAGGAGCTCTACTTAATGCAAGTGCATTATGGGAAAAGGGAAATGTTTCTGCTGAAGCAAATCTGAAGTAGGGCTTGATATCCCCTTGGGCTTCACTTTGTTTAAGGAGTAAGTGAACAAAAGTTGAGGGAACATGCGCTGTAAAAGAGCGTAGGTTTCAGCAAGCCTTCAGGAGGGAGCTTCTTCTTTCATACAGGTGCCACCAAGCTTTTTATTGTCCACACTAACCTTATTTTTATTCAGTGAGGGAAGTGAGAGGATCTGCAGGTGCAGGGCTGATCTGTGTGTGTTCTTATTTCTATTAATTCCTACGGTGCCTCAGTCTGGGCTGAGTTAAATGGCCATCTGTGGACAAGGATGACACCAGATCCCATACATGTTAACAATTAGAAGAGTAAGAAGCGCAGATTTATCAAGCCTAAAAAAGCTTATTTAATTAAACCAAGTGTCGAGTGAGAGGGGTAGTATCACATAAGACAGAGGGAGAGAAAGAGTTCTTTGAGCTCACCCAGCAAACACCATGTTGGTCAAATTACCAGTAAGACGAGTGCTTAACCCCGCTGGAACCTCGCCAACTTTGAGTGCAAATGATCTTATCAGTGGGAGTGGTGGATGTGACTAACAAAGCTAAAAAGGCTTTGCGGATAACAATCAGGCTGTTTTCCACACTGCAGTGTGACATCTGCGCTGTGGTCGCAGCCTTTAAGAGCGTAAGTCAAAGACAGCGAGTGTGGGAGGGGGCATGAGCCCGCCCGCGTCTGTGGCATTTCATGCAGATGTTCACATCCGCCCCCTCCCCCCCCCCACCCCGTATGCTCAGTAGCACTGTTGTTTTTGTGTCTTAAGCCTGTCACTTTTTAACAATCACCCTCATTACATCACTCAAAAGGAAACTTAGCAGCCAGTCACAAAACAAAAGAAACCACAAGTCCTTTTCTTGTTTGACTTTTTTTTTTCCTTTTAGTCAGATTTTTTTTTCTCAAGCAACAGAAGTAAAACTGTCTACATCAATGGCAAATCTCACAATATACCCATTCAGTACCATCCCTCGGGGGAACAGGAGGAAGAGATAAAACAATTTAGAACAGCAGCAGCACTTTCCTGCACATTTTATGAACATTGCTTAATTCCCTAAGAATGCAGTGAATGAAATCATACAGCCACTCTTCCAACCTACGTTTGTCTGAGCTTTCCCCAATGAACTTTTATCCATGTGGCCATGACCATTGAGCACTTCGACACAAAAAATACACTCATTCAGAAGATGCTCAGAGCTCAAACGGGGCTCTAAATGGCGGGATGATAATGGTTGCTCGTCAGGACTGAAAGCAAGTCTGTTTGTTGTGCGCTCTTTCTTTCTTTCTTTCTAAGCTACAAGTACCTTCAAAGCGTTTATGTTTGTTGCTGAAAACTGCTGAGTTTCAATACGAGAACATCTCCAAAAGACATTAGAAACATTTCAAATAATCATCATGTGTTTGCCTGCGAGTCTGCATGAAAGTGTGGATTTATGCACCGAATCTGGTTTAAAGTCCAATTGTTGTTGTTTTTCTCCACGTCTGCATTAACAACCGCTATTAGAGGCAATTCCAACCACAGATCCCAATCTGCTCATAATAAAGCTGCATTGTTATGCTCGAGGCCCCCCGACAGTCATGTGACCAGAAAGGAGAAAGTTCATGAACTTCCCATTGCAGGCAGACAAACACATGAGTACAATTTGGAGCTACATAGATGCACATGTATTTAGACATTAGGTATTTGTTGTTGTGTGTTTTTTTTTCCCGTTGGTGGCCTTTTTCCTTTCTCCTCATGCATTTCTTTTTAATCTTCTGGTCAAAGTCGTAGGCAAATTCAAGGTTAAAGCATACGCAAGTCTTCACAATGACCTTTATCTCCAAGAGTCACAAAAACAGACTGCGAGGCGAAGATATGTCACAGTTCTTCCCCCCGCTGCAAAAGAAAACAACGGGGGAACAGAAAAGGTTACATTTTTAAAACAAAACAAAAGCAATACGTCCAGAGAGAACTGAAGGTTGCTTCTTGAGGTGCTGTCGGAGCTTAGTCTTTTTTTTGTGTGGTTGTTGTGGTGTTTTGGCACTGACGGCCCTGCGACAATTAAGTCCTCCATTACCGGCAAAAAGAAACAGTCCAAAACTCCTCCGATTAGGGCCATGGCTGTCAGTCAAGTCATCTGATAGATCATTATCACACCAAACAAACATAAACAAGTTATTTTATGAGAACTGTACAGCCAAAAAGAGACAAAAATAGACACAAAAATAGACTTGATATATTCTGCTATGACAGCCCTATTAGTGCTAGCTGCTAAGACGGGGCAGAGAGACAGACAGATAAAAAGGACAGACAGGCACTTAAGATGCATAGCGGAGATTAAAGTAAGAGCCAAGCGAAAGACAAAAGGAGGAAGGGAAGGAGATAGAAAGAGAAAGTCTTAAAGAAGGATTTAGGTTCAAAGCACTTTTAATTCAACAAGTTACAAATATTTAAAGTGTAAAATCGTTCTAAAATGTTTGGTACCTTAACGTAGAAAATAACTGAGAACTTATTTCATACTGACAGCATTGAAATAAAAACTGACCCCCTTTCCGGTGCTAAAAGCAGTGTGCTGACCGCTCTAAAGCTAGCATTAGCATGGCTATTGATAGGGTCTCTATCCTCCACTGTATGTACCGTATGTACCGTATGTCGTTTAGCATCCTGAGACGAAGGGGATTAAGTGGGACATAAGTGTCTGAAGCTAATAGCACTAATGGGATTGCTTGGCTCTATATCAGGGGTCTTGCCTTGAGCTGTAGTCAGCAGGATGGTCAATTTACGTTCCTGGCACAATGCTAATATCTTAATCTGGCCTTGCTGGCTTTAGCTAACTAGCTGGCTACCCGCTGCTACAAGTGCTTTTTCGTTTCAAGCCTGTGTTGTTTAATACTTTAGGTGTATGGCTCTGTTGAAAAAAGGAAGAGAAAGAGAAAAAAAGAGGATTGACGGAATAAAAGCAGCACAAGTTATAATGAGCAGAATGCTAAGAGCAGCTACGCTAATATTTCTCACAGTAGACAGGAAGGCCAGCTGAGTGCTAGTACCATTATCATTATCAATGTTAGCCACGCTGCTGCATTCATGTCATATCGGATTTATCGGGATTTCCAGTTTCTGACCTAATATTATTATTCTTATCAACATCCAATTTGTATTATGATCAAAAAGTCCCTTTTCAAATTAAAAGCCCTCTAGCATTTCATACTAGCTACATAGAGCTAGATTTGGATCTAGTCTTGTTTGTGTATCTTTAAAATACAAATGTACTCCATTCCAAAGTGTTCTGTTACCAATTGAATGTTTTAATTCCTGTCAAATACCAATTAAAATAATTAAAATACTTATTTCAAAAACAAGTTACAGATAGTGTCCATCTCTATGGATGCCTCACGTCAGGGGTGAATAAACCCACATTTCATGGCTGTAGTGTTTTATTGATCATGCACAGTATTTTTAAACTCCACATGACCAAATCTGTAATCATCAAACTGTTGTAAACACTGGAATATCTGATTTCATCCCATATGAAATGAATGCAGCAAAAGCTCACACCAGTGCTACCCACTTTATGCTGCATTTTTTTGTAACTACATCAAATCAAGCACAAAAAAACCCCCAAAAACCCAAAGCTTCAGTGAGTCGAGGCTAAGTTGAAGTTCTTTGTAAAATGGCTACAATCTGAAAGTGAGGCACTTTTTGAGCTGATATATAATTCTATTTTTGTTTTTTCATACACTAAATAGTCAGCCACCATTATACTCTTACTGTTTTTTTCTCAGAAAAAACAAAAACAAAACACAGAATCTCCATTTTTTTTGTACCCTTCTCTGATTGGCTTTCACTCAAGGAATGAGAGCAGCAAATGGCTTTTCAAGAGTGTCATTTGGCACACATCCCCGTTGGTTTCTGCAACCAACAAGATGAAAGCGAAGAAAAAAACAAAAAAAGAGAAAAGTTTGCCATCAGTATCTGTCAAAGTGCTTCAGGGGCGTGTCCGATCCAGCTGTTCTCTCGATGTGACTGGCTGTCACAAAAGAAACAGGCGGAGCTTTGAAGCTCTCTGAGTGGTACCAGATTGTTTCCCCAAGGACGACGCACTGACATCAGCACTCTGAAAGAAAAAACAGACACACAGAGAAAGAGGAAATGGTTTGGTAAGATTCAGAATAAACAATAACGCAGATATAAAGAAGAAATAAATATTATGACATGTATATACAGTGTCACTTGCTTATCAGGTTAATTATAAAATATAATGTAAGATATCAGTGCCTGCTTATCGGCCCGGGAACACAGTGACCCTAAAGCGAACAACGAGAATAAACAATACAGCCAAATAAGCTGGAAAAAGACTCACAGATTCAGACAGGAGGAAACTGATAAAAGGGAACAGCGGGGAAGGAGAAAGTGAGGACACCTATTGCTGCAGGCACGGACTCAAGTGTGTGTGTGTGTGCCAGCACGAGGGAAAACAGAGTTCCAGAAACAAAGTCGGGTTTTTTTTTTTTTTTTTATGGCAATTTCAGCTCCTCACACAGGTGTTTAGCGTCAGGAAAATGTCACTACTGTGATAATTCAAAGGGTGGAGTCTCACCAGCACATACAGGTCTTTCCTGGCCTTGTTTGCACAGTTGATAGGATTATACAGGAATGCCGACATAATGATAATTCTGCTCCAGAGTAGCGAGAGCAGACGAATCACATGACGTCAAACAGCCATCAGCCTGTTTTATGGCCCTTATGCGCTCTTCGATTTGAGGCTGTTGCAGGCAAAAGTAGACAATCGTGAGAGAAACCTGGTGAAATCTTTAGCATCAATTGCAATTATGGTTTTTAATGGCGGCACTGTGAGACAAGTCCACCAACGGCAGATTTAAGCGGCTGTTAATGATCACTGAAAGATGGCTGAAACCATCACCACAAATAGAAACAATCAATCAGTCTTTACGGGCCCTCTGAACTGTGATATTTTGCACTATAAAATGTTGAATATTGTGAGAAACATTGTGAAATCTTTGGTCATAAATTCAAAATAGCAAAACAAGATTGCATATTGAGATCCGTCCACCAACGGCTCATTTTCTACCGGGATAAAACTACTATATTTTCTCGATAATGGCCCGACAACAGGCGTTAAGGTATTGGGAACAAGAATGAGCGCTGGGAGCCAACAATTTGCTCTCTTTATGTCAGGTAGTGTGTCATCGTGGAGGACAACTGCCACAGCCTCACGACATCCTGACAAAACACGAGCATGAGTTGCTGTTTTTTGCCTCTCTCTCACCTGGACTGACAACTTCTATAACATGTCCCACAATGTTAACCCACAAGAGCGCTCTCCCACGCTCAGCAGTGAACATGACATTGTTGGTGTTGGCACCTCCACCCAGATCACCTATGTGAGCCACGCAAGGTTGTGAAAGTCTGTCATGTTTCTCAGCAAGAATTTATGACTCTATGATCAACACAGTGACGACGCAGGCAAAAGATTGTATAATCTGATCCCAGCATGAGAGTGTTTCTCTCCATAAGACAATCAGAATACAAAATAAAATAATGCACTTGTTGACCCCACACTGTGCAAAGTCTGACATGCCTCCAGACTGATATCGTACAGTCTGACACAGATTTTATTAGACCTATCTCACCCAGTGTGCTTTATCACACCCTTTACACCAATGACAATCTTATGCTGCTATTCAGATCAGAACATTGTATTCAGTCATCATTCTCAACAGAGTAATTGCTTTGTCACACTCGTAAAAGGTCTCGTTGTGTACATTACGACGTTCTAATGAAAGAGTGAGTTTCTAGAGTTTGCAGTGAAAGCAGGATCTCGACTATAAAGATCAGTCAATGCCCTTTAAACTGGGTTACTCTCTGTCAGATGTGATGACTCACACCAAAGGCACTCAGGCTGCCGTCAGCCAAAATAACAAATGCACAAAGCTAGTAAAGAGAAGAGGCTGTGAGAGAGAGTTCCCCGTGTCTCTTTCCCTAAAATTTCCCAGCAGTGCTTGACTCTCTAATTGCACGAGGGTACTCTATATTTACGCCCCTCCCTCCCTCTCCAGTTAGTCTTCTTCCTGGTGCAGTGAGCTATATTTAGTACCCCCTCAGCACAGACGGTGCCCGCCAGCCGGCCAAGCCATGACGGCCTATAGCAGAGCAAAGCGGAGCAGAGCAGCTCCCTCATTCAGCCCGAAAAAAACAACACAAACAATCAAGCCAGCCAACCAAAGGGACCGGAGGAGACAGGCTGGACACGCACTGGTGCACTGCCATGGACACACACATGAAACCACACACACACACACACACACACACACACACACACAAGAGGGACACAGAGGAAGACACTATAATTATGCGGATGACATTCACTTAATGATGACCTTTCCCCAAACACAGACACGAGAAATTATATGCTGAAACATGCTAAACAACTCTCCAGTGCCTCATCCTAATGCACATACACTCACATACACTCTTATATATCCAGCTACACAGGAAATGTTTCCACTCTAATCAAATATTGCCTTCTTATTTTCCCCCACGCTGCCCCTTCCATCAGTCTGACCCTCCCTTGGCGGTTTGTCTATCGATCTCATTCATTTCCTTGCATCGTTTCTCCATCTGTGGGCAAATCGATATAATAATGACCGCGGTAGGGATTGTGTGAGTGTATGTGTGCTTCTCTTCTCCTTTCTCTGCCAGACTGTTTAAATCAAGAGGTTAGACAAGGCTATCTGCCTCCACAGTCCGTGTCTAGCCAATAACTGTTCTCTAGCCGCCTGTGTGTGTGTGTGTATTTGTGTGTGTAATTAGGAGAGTCTGGGTCTATGTGATGTCTCAATCGAGGGCTGCCTAAAATTGAAAGCCACCCTGTTCTCTGGTTATAAATCGAGTGTGTCAGTCTGTCATTTTCATGCCGCCCCGGCTCCAACCAGATGGTCTGCAACGTGATGTGAGTCACTGAGTCCACTGGTCAACTCAGTCGGTTTGGGTTAAATCTTATTTTATTCTAAAGGAAACTACACCAGAGCTATTAGACTACATCATATGGTTGCAATAACTGAAAACAGAAGCTGGAGAAAGACTAAACAGCAGAAACATGGGAACAAAAAGCATCAGCAGTGGTTGGTTCTAGATACTTTACATGGGAAAAGATGCATGACAATCACAAGTTTAATCACAAGTTTATTGCTATATCTCATCCTTTTTACAAGCCCCGGGGAAGATAATGTGATCTTTTTGGAAAGAGTCAATCTGTGCTTTGCATTCAGGCAAAAAAACGAACAAATAATTTGTTTTTTTAGAAATTTCTCTTCAAACACAGGACTAATAATTGTTCACGTGACCTGCAGAGATTCTTTGTGCACAATACCAAATTCCTTCCAGCTCCAAAGGGTGCAGCCAACCCTGACTTTTGACCTACACGTTAAAGTGGATGAACTTTCCCCTCTAAATCATTAAGGAGTTAAACTATTAGAAGGATGTCAAAATCCAAAACTGTTTTTCCACGATGGCAGCAATTTTGGTGCCAGCGACTTTAGCCCCTGCAATCCTCCAGTACTGTTATTATACTTGATTCCATTAAATCATCTATCCTGCAAGCGGCTAGGAGGTACAACAGCGCAACATGAGCCGGGATTCAGCGTCAAGACAGCTGCAGATACAAGGAATGAATACTGGCAGACTGAAGCAGCGGGATAGCTCCTGTGTCACCTCATTTAATTTCTTCCAGTGACGCCAGAAAGTCTGTCAGTTATGAAGATATAATGCTTGCAGTGCAACCACAGCGTTGTGATTTCACAGTATTTATTTGTTAGTCATGAATCTGGCACGTTCGTGGATGACAATTTGGTTAAAAGTGATACTCCACCCATAATCTATATGTGAGTATCAAACACATGCCTCCTGTGGGCTTCAAATGTGGTTGTACAGTTTAAGAATCGCTTCTTCGTGGCAGCAGTCACAATGGATTGCAATGACCCAGTTTAACAGTGAAACTAAAGCTTCAAAACATCCATAGTAACTTGTAAAACGACAACAATTTATTTACAATTTAAATTATCAATAACCATTGATAATGGAATAATAGTTTGTCATTTTCTTAAGATACCAACATTTGCTGGTTCCAGCTTCTCAAATCTGAGCATTTGCTGGGTTTCTCTCTTTTATATCATAACTGTAAACTGAATGTCCTTCTGAAGGCGTCACCTCAGGCTGAGGGAAATTATAACAGACATTTTTCACAATTTTCTGAGATTTTATGGACAAGATGACTCATCGAATAATGGAGAAAGTAATGTGCATGAAAAAGAGAGAAAGATGAAAATGCAGTTAGTTGTAGCTACAAACTCTTTGACTGTCAAGGTCACTGACTCAGAGAAAACATTTTCAAGTAGCTTTTATGGAATTAAACTGATGATATAACAGATCTGAAGACAGCTGTAGGAGAATAAAAAGTAGTAGCAACTAAATTGTGAGAATAATTAAAACAATATGTAAATGACACCCATTTATTTCTCTTTATGAGCCTAGAAAAGACCAAAGAGCTGGAGCTCCAGTTCTGATTGAAGGTCTGGTCTGTGCGGTTCAGTCCTGGGTTTCCTCATACTAGACCGACTATAATACGATACAATGATGAACGATAATCAGCCGAACAGTAAACGCTGCAGTTATGCATTTGTGTACCTCTGTGCTTATAGAGTAACAGGAATACTGCCACTTCCGAGAAGACCATTTGTATATATATATATATATATATATCAGGTCTGCAGGGTATCTTTAATGATGTTCTAAACAGGCACGGAAGCAGACTCGTCTTTCCAGGGAAAAGTCTTCTGGGACACAGGAATCCTTTTATGTTTAAAGAAACACCAAGCAGCCGTTTGTTTGGAATAAATACAAGTGGGTGAGCATCGATCATCGGGAAGGCGGTACACATGAATGGAAAATCTAAGGGAGAAGGCGTTGCAGCACTGCCCACCGAGCTTGACCAACACGTGATTTCTGGGAACTGTTCAGGACCTGTACCACTTTAATAATGTTGTCTTTTACAGAAAATTAAGGTGATAACTAGACAACATTCCTTAATGGCTCTAA